AACTGGACACAGGCTCACTGACCACAGCCTGGCCAGAGAAACTGGACACAGGCAGGCCTGGCTGTCCAGAGAGGACAGGCTGTGCTCCCACTGCCAGCAGAGAAAAGTAGAGTCAGAGTTGCACTTTCTGCTGAACTGTAACAAATACTCTGGGATTAGACAAACATTCTTCCTTAAAATAATAAATCTAATCCCAGAATTCCCACACCTGCCAGAATTAGAACAGTTTCTAATCCTACTGGATGAGGAAACTCAATAACACTGCAGCCCAGTGTGCGATCTTCTGTCCCAGCCTGAGGAACAGAGAGTCAGCCTCCCAAGTAATAAGAGAGGGGTGTCCAGACCCAGAGATTGATCTCCTGCCTCGATAAGAATGTAAACAGCCAGGATGATCAGCGCTGCCCTTTACTCACTGAGACACAGACTGATCGATCAGGTCATTGATTGATAGATTGTGTTTTGTCTCGGAGTCTTTCTCAGAGCCACATGGACCTAAAGTTCTGCTAAAGTGGGGGAAGGACCATATAAGGGCACATGTCCCTGAAACCCAGGAGACAGAGCCCAGACCTCTGGAAAAGAGCAGCGGAATGAATTTGTTTTCACTCAGTGATGGGAAATCAGGCTGGTGCTTATTCAGACCAGGAGCCTCCACAAGTAGGAATAAAGAGCAGTTCTCACCCGTGAAAGAGTCCTGCGCGCGGTGCGTGTCCGGCCTGCTCTTCTCTGCGCCCCCAACTGGAGAGGGATCCCGGGGGTCTCTGGTGTCCTGGTGGCCAGGGACAGCGGATCTAGAGCTTTGTTTTCCTTTCCTCTTGCAGAACCAAAAAGCACCTGCTGACTGGTGTCCAGTGTAAGGAGACGGGGCCCAGCTGATCGGAGAGGTCGGGGGGCTCACAGACTAGGGGCGCAGTCGCAGCCCGGGAGCAACAGGGCATCAGCCGTCTGCCGGCCCCCAAGGGCCTCTCGCTGGACTCAATGTTGCACAATGTTCCAGTGCTTCGTATCCCAGTGAGGGGCGTTAAAGAATAAACTGTGATCCGGAGGAAAACAGATGCGAAAGGACAGCAAGAGGTCGACCCAGAGGTTACAGACACACGGCTGCTGCGGCTCCTGTCGTAGACCCTGACCCCTGACCCCTGACCCCTGACCCCTCCCGCTGAAGGACAGAGTGTGTCCCTCTGCTCCCTCTCACTCTCACTGAACAGCCCCAGCGCACGCCCCCGCAGTCACACACCAGCCAGTAGCTGGCTCTTAGTCACGCAGTAAAACCCAGCAACTTGTAACTGCGGCTGCCAGGACTTCACCAAGACCAGATGCTGCGCTGCGCTGCAGTCCAAACATTAAAAAGGGTCTCTCTCTCTCTCCACTGACTGTCTCACCCCTCTCCCTGTTCCTCAGCCTCCCTGTCTCTCTCCCTCTGTCTCCCCGTCTCTCTCAGTCTCTTACCCTCTGTCTCCTTGTCTCTCTCAGTCTCTTACCCTCAGTCTCCTTGTCTCTCTCAGTCTCTCTTCCTCTGTCTCCCTGTCTCTCTCAGTGTCTCTCCCTCTGTCTCCCTGTCCCGGTCTCTCTCAGTCTGTGCCTCCCTGGCTCCTAGTTTCTCTGTGTGTCCTCAAAGTCACAGCTAACACGGACACTGGGGAGATTTTCTTCCTGTTGTCCTGATCAGGCAGGGGCGTGTCTGATTGTGCTGCTGGGAGCTCTGGGAGCAGGGCTCTGGGTCCCCAGTGGGGCATCGCGGCAGTGGGCAGCGGACGGGTCCCCCCATGTCTCTGCGGTGCCCCAGTCCGTCATCCAGCCTGTCCTGCTGAAGTCCAGCACGACACCAGACACCTTTCCCTCTCTCCTCCCGAGCGATACAGAGGGCACTGCGGCCGTCCGCACACCTGGGCACACCTGGCACCCCGCTCAGCGCCCCGAATGAAGAGCCTCCTCTGTGCCCGCAGCGCTAGGAAGGAGAAAACAAAGAGTTAAAACTCTTCGCGCTCGCCTGTCTCGGCTTCACTGCAACCCCGACCCCTCGCTCTTCGCTTCGTCCTGCCGCTGCCTATCCATCTGAGCGGCTATTTCTGCAAACACCCCACCCCCACGGCGAGCCCAACAGACACGCGTGTGTGCACACGCGCGCGTGGGATACACCTGCACGCCGCCAGTGGAAGAGAAGCGGGGCGCTAGACGCCGGGCTACGGCGGTCCAGCCCTTTTTCTCCGTGCCTGTGCCTCCCGGCTGCTGCGCCTCAGGCTCCCCTTCCTCCTTTCGCTTCCGCGGAGGTGAATTTCTGCCTCCTCTCCTTCAGCGCCAGGCTCGCTCGCTCCCTCCCTCCCCTCTCTTCCTTTCTCACCTGCCGCCGCTCCGCTCCGGGCTGGACGGTCGTGTCTCTGTCGGCCCCACGCTTCTCGCAGCCGCGGCACGAACCAGCCTCTCGCCTCGTGTCTCGGCGTCTGCCCGTGGATCTGCTCGCTGCCGCTCTGCTGCGAGCTCACGCCCTCTCTCTCTCCCTCTCTCTCCGCGTATCAGCGTGAGAGCGGCCGGCCGCCGGCTGTGGGCGCACTTACACAACAGCTCGGCTCCCGAGCTCCTCAGTGACACCCGAGGGGTGCCGCAGCTTCAGCGAGGCGGCAGGAGCGCCTCGCCCCCAGCAGGCGACACTGAGGGGCGGCTGGCACGTCCAGCAGCAGGGCGCTCCAGCCCCAGACTGGGAGGAAGCAGAGAGAAATCCAGGTGCTGCACTAGCACGGGGAACTGGTGCTCGCACTGGAAACTGTCACATCGCCTGAGCAGCAGCCTGTGTGCAGCGAAGATCCAAGGGGACAGTAGGTCTTACTAACTGCATACCCAGCCTTTCAGAGCTCTTCCAACCAGCAGTGCCAGTAACAGACACACACAGAGAGCTGTCAGATTTACAGAAGGCTGGTCAAGTCTCAGGGAACTGAGAGCTGAGATGACAGACGAGGGGCGCGGGTTCAAACTGGTGATGCATTGAGTGGAGTACTGCAGGGATCTGTGTCCGGACCACTGCTCCTCCTGGTTTCTATCAGTGATCCGGGTACCGTTAGGGTCACTGGCCAACTCTGGATCAGCAGCAAATCAGACTCAAAAGGATTTCGGCAGCGTTCAGAAGGGGGCAAACACACCTGGCAGCTGACGTGTGTCTGTATGTGAGTCAGGGAGCTGGCCACCTGACTGGAGCAGAAACATTCAGAACGAGAAACTGAGGTTCCCTTCTGAAACGGAGGTGCTCCTGTTGACACGTCATTTATCTCCTCCAGGCCCCGCAGGGAAGGCAGAAAAGAGTGTTAGGCTACAGTTCACGGTCAGAAGTGTGGAAATGAAATCAGGGGGTGTTATCCCTGGTGGCCTGGCTCGATCTCACTCCGGGCCGGAGCGGTCTGGCCTCCCTACAGCTCCCACTGGAATCACCTGGAGCAGCAGTTTCTCTTCCACCTGACCTGTGAGCAGGGGGGCAGCAGGGGGTCTCTCCTGTAGGCGAAGCCCTTTGAGAGGCGCTATATCAACACAAGGAATTCTCAGGCGGCGTTCCTGCTGGGAACGTGTGTGTCCCGGGACCAGCACGGGCCGGGGGGCCGCCCAGACACGCCCCCTGTGCGCCAGAGAGAACAAAGACATTGCTTGTTCCAGGACGCTCCAGGCCGAAGTCCTCTCTCTCTCCGGGGACCGGCTGCCGTCGGAAAGCCCTGCGGACAAAGTTCCAAACCTGCTGGTGTGTGTTTACCTTTCCCGCTTCACCGCCAACAGCTCTGATCTGACACGTCTCCTGTGACAAATTGGTTTTCTAATCCTTTAGGCGCTCGGTACAGGTATTTCAGCCAGCCTGCTGCAGAGACCCCCCAGAGGAGCAGGCGGAGACAGGACCGGGCTCAGAGTGACCCCGAGGGCGACTGCACTCTCTGCCTCGCTGGCACACGGGGTGTTTGGACCCCCGGCTGTTATATCATCACATCATACATTCGGCACAACCTCTTGTTGCCATGGGAGTAGGGAACAAGCTGCCCAGCCACGCCGACTCAGATACGAGTTTCATTTCTTGTTCCAAATAAAGCTCAGCAATCAACTTAATTGATTAAGTATTGGCTCAGCTGAAAGGGCTGCATGTTTTTTCTTAGGGTGCGTCTTACCCAATGATGCCACGGACTGCCCTGTGCCCAGTGGGGTCACTCTTTCCCCGTTATTCAGTTGATTCGAGGGGTTCAGGCCGCGAGGGAGTCCGAACCGAGTCCCCCCCCCCAGGTGAAGTACTGTGACCTCTGACCTGTGCTTCCCAGAGCCTGTGAGCGGCGTCCTGCCTCTGTTCAGCCACACCTGCCAAGGCCAACAGCGCAGGAGGCTGTGGGTGGTGCTTCTCTGTCGCTGGCTCCAGCCCCAGGACTGGAGCAGGGCCAGCGGGCCAGTCCAGGAGCAGGCCGGCGTGGGCGTGAGCTCAGCGCCTCGGCTCGGCTTGGGCGAGCTCGGTCTCTCACGCTGCCTCACCCTCTCCTCTTTTCTTTCTATTCCCATTTGAATGTCAAAGGAAGGATGAGGTCACCTCCACACACTGCCTGCTGGCAATCTGCTCCTGCTGCGCTCAGCGGGCGGAACCTTACACCCAGGGTGAGGTAACAGGAGCTGGCTGCCTGCGTGTGTCAGTGAGAGTTGGCAGGATTACACCCCTCCTCCTCATTTCCTAGAAGACAGACAGGTGTGCCCAGGTGAGTCATCTCAGGCTCTGTCCTTGTTAAGGGGGCAGCGCCTCTAACAGCCTGCTGTCCGTCACACTTCTCTCAACCAGTTTACACAAAGAGCTGTGGGAGTGTGGAGCAAACCACCCAGCTTGTGGAGGAATGACTTTAATGGGCTGAATTTATAGCGGGTCTCGTCAACAGCGGGTCTCTGTGGGAGATCCCACAGGTGCTGAACATTGGGATTCTCTGTTTCCTTGAACCTGCCCTCCCTACAGTTCCCACGTATTTCACCCTGTGCAGCAGTTTCTCACTCCTGGGTGATGAAGGGTCCCCTCTTGTATGCAAGGCCCTGTGGGAGGCTTTGGGATGAAGGACGCTATATACTCACACGAGTCAGTGTTCGGGCTCAGATACAGGGTCCGGAGTCCTGGGCTCTGTTCTGGCCGGGCTGAGGTACAGTATCTGTCAGCGTGGAGCCCCTAGACTACAATGAGCATGACCGAACCTGTTCAAGGCTTGCAGGGTGCACTGCATCCCAAGAGATGCATCTGTTGATAACTCTGGTGGTTATTGCCGACGTTTACTGAGGATCGTTTTCTACCCAGATTTCAGGAAGAGAGGGGTAAGATCCCTGCGGCTCGAGAGGTTTCTCTGGCGCCTCGCAGGTTCACGGATTCCTCACAGGTCCTCACAGATCGCACACCCAGGGAGCAGCGGCTCTCTCTGTGCCTGCTGCTCTTCAGGAATGTGGTCCGTGCGACAAATCTACTTGATCACATGAACACGGGAAAGAACTGAGATTATCCGCCCCACACGTCCTTCCAGACAATCGAGACAAGTTTGTTTCCGCTGACACTAACAGAGCTCAAGTTATTCTCACCTCTTAAACACAGGCATCACACCTGTAAATGGATAATTTCCAAATCCTCGTCTCTGGAGCCAGCAGCTTCAGAATAGGGGGGTCTCTTTTTATTTGCAAACTCATCAGCTCTTAACCCGACAGAAGCAGGTGAAGCTCAGGCCCGTGTGACAGTCTGTGAATCAGCCAGTCTGACAAATCCTCTGTCTGCCCCCCTGTTTCTCTCTCAGCCCCACCCACCCCTGTCATTATCCTGTTTAGGCTCCTCTCTGGACTCAGGATCTTGGGCTGAAAATAACCAGCTTTAACCTGGAGGATTTCACTAAGATCATTAGAGAACACTGGAGCCA